CTCAGGTGCCCTTCGTCAATCGGTGCCGCTGCCTAAGTCGACAACTTCTTTACCCTCGGTAAGTCAGCGAGGAATGTGAACGAGCGTCTTCAGCATATCTCTCGGCGCCTGCAGTCTCTCGGCCTGGCTGTCCACGAGCTCCAGTCGGCATCCGAGGATCGACGCAGAGTTTTTGGGACTGAGTCTTCGACGTGGCTGCGAGCTGTCGGCGCGCCACAAAGACATCTGGCGTCTTCGTTATGCGTTGGAGGAGATACTGAGGAGAGGCCGATGCAGTGGGGCTCTCATGCGTGCGTTGGTTGGCCATATCACGTGGACTACCCTCATACGCCGCGAGGGGCTCAGCATCTTGCAGTCCGTGTATGACTTTGTTGAGTTCGCGGGATCTACTCCGTCCACCCTGTGGCAGTCGGTTCTGCGAGAGCTTTGGCAGGTCCGGTGCCTCCTCCCGCTACTTCGTCTCGACGCGTCGGCCGAGTGGCATCATCGAGTTTGTTGTAGTGATGCTAGTGATTTTGGTCTCGGGGTGGTTCATCGACATCTTGGGCCAGATCGCGTCGCAGCTATCGGTCGGACCTGTGAGCGTTGGCGGTATCGCGTCGAGGGGGCTGAACGAGCCAGGGAACGAGCCCTCCAACAGGATCACGAAGAGCACCCCCCTCCCGGCAAGGTCACGGCGGTCTTCTCGGGCAACCTGGAGCCCTGCTACCTGGAGGTCTCAGAGGCCGAGTTCAACGAGGTCCCGGCGGGGCTACTCCATCCTGGGAGCTGGGGGAACGTCGTGGCGGTCAAGGTGCCGCCAGGGTCCAACATTCTGGAGCTGGAGGGCGAGGCCCTCTTGCTGGCCTTGAGGCATCTGTTCAGGGACTCGTCGGCGGTCGGCAAGCGCATCCTCGTGTTCGTCGACAACCTCCCCCTGGCCCTCGGGGCCACAAAAGGCAGGGCCCGCTCAGTCCATCTTCGGGGACCTCTTCGGAAACTGGTTGCTTTGGGCCTCGCCACGGGGAGCCGCATCCACGTCCGTTGGATCCCGTCCGAGCTCGACCCCTCGGACTCCCTCTCTCGGGGCCGTCTGGGCTGGTTCTCAGGGGAGCGGGCTCCGCGTGCCCAGGGCTCCGCGGCGGCACCTCTGCCGTCGGCCGCGGATGGCGCCCAAGCGGCGGCCAGCCGCAGCCCCGCGGCGGCGGAGGACGGCTGCCGACACCCTGGCCCAGCAGCGGGCGTTGCTGGCGGCGTCGCTGGCGGCGAGCAGCCGCCCGGTCCTCGGCCTGTCCGCCCTGGAGCGTGTGGCGGTCCGGCCTGTGACCCAGGCACAGTACCGCCGGCTGGCCCTCAGGTTTCACTCGTACTGCATCGACACGAAGAGGGACTGGGCCACCTGGACCCAGCTGGACAGCCACCTCTGCGACTTCATGAACGCGCTGTTCGTGGCGGGCGAGGCGTCGGACACCAGCTCCCAGCTCCTGGCGGCCATGGCGCACTTCATCCCGGAGCTGCAGGGCGCTGCCAGCCACGGAGCTGCCGCTGCGCCGTGGCATGGAAGCGGCGGGTCCCTCCTCGGACCCGCTGCCCGCTGCCCAAGGCGGCTGCCCTGGCAATCGCTGGCCACCTGGCCTGCGCCGGGAGGCCCAGCATTGCGCTGTGGGTACCTGCGAGTGCTTCCGCCTGAAGGGCCGGGACCTGATCCGCCCCTCGCCGGCCGCGGGGCCGCAGTACGCGAGGTGGGGGCTCCTCCTCCACGACCTCCAGCCCCAGCAGCCGGGGAAGACGAACCTGTTCGAGGAGTCGGTGGTCATCGATCACTTCGATCGGTGGCTGGAGGCTCCGCTGGAGGCGCTGAAGTCCGCGGTGGCCAGCGACCAGCTGCTTTGGTCCTTCAGCCTGGCGGAGCTCTGGCTCCACTTCAGCCGCGCGGTGGAGGCTCTGGGCCTGCAGGCGCCGTCGCCACACCTCTACAGCCTCCGGCACGGGGGTGCGTCAGAGGACATCCTCACGCGTCGGCGGACTCCCGCGGAGACGCAGAGGCGGGGGCGGTGGCAGGCCCCCAGCCCCATGAAGCGGTACGCGAAGGAGACGAAGCTGCTGGCGGAGATGGCCCATGTGCACGCCGACGTGCACAAGCTGGGAAGGCTGGTGGAGTCGCACTTCGCTGCCGTCCTGCAGGGCTGGCTGCTGGTCCAGCCGCTGGTCAGCGCCGCGCCAGCCTGCCTCCAGGCGTGTCTGCGCGGGGCGCCGGCCGCGAGGCAGGCTGCGGCCCGCGGCCGCACGGCCCGGCGGTGATTGGCTCGCCCAGCGTCGTAGAGCAGCATCTCACCCAGAAGTTCGAGCGCGCCCTGAGAGGCGCACGCTGGCGCAGGCGATGTCTGTTTTTAGAACTCTTTGCTGGGCGTGGCCGCATCGGCCAACAGCTTCGGCGGGCTGGCTTCGCCTGTGTCTGGCTTGATATTCTGAACGGGCCGGCAGATAACCATCTGTTCCTCACCTTCCAGCGGAGACTTTCGGGCTGGGTGAAGTCTCGGGCGGTCATCGGGGTGTGGCTGGGCACCCCGTGCACGTCCTGGACTCGCGCCCTGCGCAAGCCTATCAGGTCTCCCGAGTTCCCCACGGGTATAGATGGCCTCTCCTCGGTTGAGGCGTCTCGGCTGAAAGTCGGGAACGCCTCTTTCCATTTCGCGTGCAGGGTGATTGGGCTGTGTGCATCTCTCGGGATACCAGTCTTTTTGGAGAACCCTTTAACTTCTCTCATGTGGCAGGCTCCAAGGTTTGTGGTCCTTTCCCGCCTCCCCTCGTTCTCCTCTTCCATCTGTCATATGTGCCAGTATGGCACGCCTTGGAGGAAGCCTACCCGTATTTGCGCGTGGCATGGAGGCTCAGGATACCACATTAGTCAAAAATGCTGCCCGTGCGGGCGTGTGTGCTCCAGGTCTCAGCGCCCCCACCTCAGGCTCAGTGGCAGAGCCCCAGGCGGCGTCCACTATACCGCGCTGGCCGCCTCTTATCCGCCCGCCTTTGCACGTGCAGCAGCAGCACAGATGATCGAGAGTGCCCGCGTTGTCCAATCCAAGCGTCTGGCGCACCTGTGGGGTGTCTCGTAAGGTGTTGACATTTTCTGTGAATTCGGTTGTTGGTCTTGAGTATAATATATCTGCGGCCTTCGGCCATTTCCGCCTTTCGGGAGCGGGTGCTCTGTCGAAGCCTCGAGCAGCCGGCGTCCACGTGGAGCTGTCACGTCTGCCTCCTTCGGTCTTCTCAAAAAATGCATCATCTGGCCCTGGGGAGCAGCCCAACATGCTGGTATATTTTACATAGTGAAGCATGTGTTGCAGCGCAGAAGGGCCGTACTTGTGTCGGCTCAAGCTCTCCCTCCCTCCCTCCCTCTTTCTCTCTCCTGTGTTCGATTGTTTTTTTGGTTCCACCCGACATGCCTCGGGTGCTCTGTCGAAGCCTCGAGCAGCCGGCGTCCACGTGGAGCTGTCACGTCTGCCTCCTTCGGTCTTCTCAAAAATTGCATCATCTGGCCTTGGGGAGCAGCCCAACATGCTAATAATCAGCATCATCATCATCATCACCATCATCATCACCATCGTCATCGTCATCAGCATCAACATCGTCGTCACCATCATCATCATCACCACCATCACCATCATCATCACCGTCACCATCACAGCCCCCACTAGCATCGCATCATCGATATACCCGCCCACAGCACACGAGACCGGTGTCGTCAGTATCGCCGTTGTGATCACCGCCGTCATGTTCACAATCGTCATTACTATCATAAACATGTCTGCCAGTCGTCGCTCCTCGTTACCGCTGTAAGTAGCCCCTGGGCATTCCCCGAGCCTCTCCGACGGGGCACTGCATCTGAAAATCCCAACTCAATTGTGTTGCTTACGATTTACTTTACTCAGCTGCCTGCATTTCCTCCTCCTTGTTGCCGCCCTGGTGTCTCGAGCGGTGTCGGACCTTTGAAACCTATCTGCAACACCAGATTACACAGCCACCGTAGTGGAGATAAGTCTGAAAAAGGCGTAGGAAGAGACCAGAGGAGGTTGTTTCGTGTTTCGGTCGCTCGAGTACGGGTGCCAACTTTTTGTGTTTGCGCCGCGCGCGCTGCCTAGCTGGGAGCCGCTACCGCGCCCGCTTGCAACGGTGTGTGAGCCTGGCATTCAGGAAAATTTGAACCGAGCATGGGTTGAAGCGGGGCGAGTCGCAGAAGGCGGAGCTAAAGAGGCAAAAAGCGCAGGAGGCAGCATCGGCAGCAAGATTAGGCTGTGTCGCCAGGTCGTTGGAGCGAGCTGAAGTTGATGTGGCGTTCCCTTGCTACTGCCGAGATGCGCGACGCCTGGTACAATGGTCAGAAGAGCACGAGTGCGCATTGAGGAGTCCGGGCAGTTCAGGAGCAGTTGCGGCCCGCAGTGCCCGATATTGTAGTCTCGCATGTTCGCTTTGATAATGAGCTTTGCCACCAGCTTGAAACCGGTCTCACGTTGAATTGTTCTGGTCCACGGATCCACTGCAAATGAAAAAGATCACCGGCGTGCGTGGCGCACCGCTGCATATTGTTGACCGTCTCGCACGTTGTGGCTTCGACTGTGAGCATCGCCCCGTGCGTTCTCTTTCTGTTCGCCTTGTGTAGTGGTACGCGCCTTCTCGCGGGGTGCGACACCTTGCAAGATGAGTACCAGGGGAAAGCCGAGGACCACGAAAGGCAGCAGCATGAGGAGGAACCCAGCGCAGGGCTCAGGGCGCGCCCATACGCAATGAAAAGCGACCGCCTGGCCTCAGTAGTGGATCCACCCGGAGCGGGCAGAGGCGTGAGAGAAAGAAGGGGAGGAGGGCAGGGGGGAGGGGTGGACAGAAGGAAGCCGACCGAGGACCGAGAGAAGGAGGATAACGAGGAAACTTGCGCAGGGTTCAGGAGCCCGTCTCAGCACACGCGCATGTACATCATGGTCTCTTTGGATACATACAGATGCACAGACAAAAACGAAAGCCAGGCTTCGACGGCGGACCCGCAGGTGGCGGGCAGAGGCGTCCAGGCCTCAGCGTTCCTGTCCGCCTTCCTCTCCCACTCCTCACGCCTCCCTCCTCAGTTTCCCGCCGCCTCCTCCCTCCATCCTCCCGGGCTCCCCCATCCATCCAACCTCTTTCTGACCCCTCCATCATCCCTTTTCTTCTTTCTGACTAAACCTCCGTCTCACTCCTCCCTCACCCTCCTCTTTCCTCCCTCACCCAGCCCTCAATATGTTCTTTCTACAGATCCCTCGTTGTCCTCGCGCCTTGTCCCACCTCCTCCTCCTCATCCTCCTCCTCATCCTCCTCCGCCGCCTCTTCACTCTTCCTCTTCATCCTCATCTGCCTCGACCTCCTTCCCCTCTTCCTCTTGCTCATCCCCATGTTCCTCCTCCTTCCCCGCCCCCGTCGGCACTCCCACCCCTCGCCCCCGTTAGCACTCCCACTCCCACTCCCCCGTCGGTAACAGACAGATGGCGGCAAACGAACACGGCAGAAGGGGCGCCGTGCTGCCGACCAGACGTTGCCGCGGCGCGCTGGCACACCGGCGCATTGTCCGAGACACCGGCCGATTTCAACCACGGTCGGAGTGCTGCGGCCGACGTGCCCAGGGATAGGGCGGCGAGATCCTTCCCTTTCCACCGCCTTGGGCCAGGCCCTTTCTGGGCCCAGGAGCGATGAACACGATCCTGTGCCCACGATGGGCCTGACCAATGGCAGTGTGTGCATATATATATATATATATATATATGTGTGTGTGTATGTGTATATATATACATACTGTATGGATTTCGTCGCTCCAGGGGGGGCGCGCCGATTTCTCGGGCAGACCTGGGGGCCCTCGTTTGGCAGACCGCAGCACGTCGTCATCGTCGTCGCAGTGCGCTTGGCGGACCGCATCTGGGGCGGACTCGCTCTGGCGCGCCGCCACAGCTTTTCCTGCATTCGTGTGCCTGCGCGTCCACATGATGCATGGCCCGCCAGAGGCCCTGAGCCCCGCGTGTCGCCGCTACCGCCCCTCCAGGGCGCCGCCGACGTCGAGCGTGTGTATCCCCGTGCGCGCCACGAGGGTGTTCGGCGGCGCCAGCGCACCTGCTCAGGGGGTCCTCCCTCCCTCCCCGCTCCCTGCTCTCCTATTTCTCTCTCCGTCCTCCTTCTTCTGTGCAAGATCCAGCCCCTTTTCTAATGAGACGCGGGCCGAGGTAGAGAGCAGTTTTGCCAACCTCAAGATTACCTAGAAAATCCCTGGTTTTGCTGTATAGCTGCTCTCGTTGTGTTTGTGCCCCTCCCTGCAGCGCACTCGCGGCGTTCCACGCAGGACGCAGCCTTTCCTCAGGGCAGGCAGCTGCCTAGCGGACGGTCTCAAGGCTCCGCTCTTGCTCCAGTACGGCATGCACTCGCCGCTCCCGAGTCCAACCAACAAGCAAGTCCTCCTATCATGCCCTCCTGCACGGGGGCGACTCGCTCTGCTGCAACCCAGCGCAGCTCCAACCGCGCGGACTCCGCCAGCTGCCGCTGACCACAAAGTACACGGAAGATCGGCGCCGCCCGTGGCCAGCGGGCCAGCCCGTGCTGGGCAGTGACTCGTGGCTGCTACCAGCGATGGCGCCACCCAGGGCTGATGACGCTAGCCAGGGGCAAGTGAAGGGCTCTTGGCGGCTACTAGCGGTGTCCTCGTTCTCCTCCGCCCTGGTGGAAGCTGCACAGACGAAATGCCCAACGAACACTCTCTTCTTCCTCGTCGGCCTAACGCTGCTCGGCCCTGCATGGAACCAGCAGCTCGGCATTGGGCATCGTGAAACATCGAACCCCTTCTGGTACGGACGCTCATCCTTCCCCATCCCCCTCATCCTCCTCCTCGCCCCCCTCCTCTTTGCCCTCCCCCATCATCTTCCGCTATGATCTCCCTGTCCTCGTTCTGGTGAGAGGGGGGGAGAAGGCCAGCCAGGGGCAAACCCGGGGCTCGCGACCGCCACCGGCGCTGTACACAAAGCTGGATGCACATGACGTGGCCAGCTTGGGCGAGAGCTGGGCCCTTCTATGGCCCGGCACGCCGGGCTTCCGCATGCGTGACCAGCGCGTGGCCTCGAAATGCTCCACGTCCGACTCCTGCCATGTGTGTTTCCAGCTTCCTGGTACCGGTGGTATCGGCACTGGTGCTCTCCAGGGCGCAATGTGCTGCAAGAGTATTGCAGCTTTCGTCGTCGTCGAACGAGGATCGAGGTTTTTGAGCATTCTTGGGCTGCCTGGGGCATTTTGGGAGCCGTCCCAGCGGGCTCTTATGGGGCAAGAGAAGTTAGACTGCTCTTACTGGTGGGGGTAGTGGGGGGAGGCAGGGGCTGGTGGTGGTAATGTTCGCTGCCGACCCAGATCCTGACCACATGGCGTTCCTGGATGTCCGTGGAGGCCTCCGGAAAAACGTAGGATCTTTTGACAACATCCACTACTTGCCTCCTCGATCCTCGAGGGCCGAGATCAAAACGTACCAGGAAGCTGAATACACATGACGCGGCCAGTCTGGGCGAGAGCTGAATACGCATTGCCGCCTGTATTTCCAGCGCTCGGCCCTTCCGTGGCTGGGGCCTGGAGCCGGCCGATCTCGGACGATGCGCGCCATCAGAGAGCCGTGATTATTCGAGGTTGAACGGTCCATTCGGTGCAAGGGATCAACGCCGACGTCGTCGCGACACGGACCTGCAATAGATGAGATGCTCGGAGTCGTTGGCGTGGGAGCTCCGATTGCGTGGGGCACCAACATCAGCACAATTGGTGCCACGCGGCAGGAGAGGAATTCTGCGGGGGCATTGGCATGGAGGATGAATCGGAGGAGGGCCAGTTGGGAGGACGACCAGTTCGTCCTTAACGCTTCTTCCATGACGAGTTCACCCGGGAGAGCGATTTTCTTGACGAATTCGTTTGGATGAAATTGTCCGGATGAATTTGTTTGGATGAAATTGTCTGCGGGTGATCCTTTCTTTGGATGAGCTCGTCTTCGGATGAATTCGTCTTCGGATGAATTGGTCCAGAAGAAGTTGTCCGGAAAAGTTTGTCCCGTTAAGCTCGTCTTAGATGAAGTCGTCCGGATGAAGCGGCTGTGGACGAAACGGTGTTTTCGTTCAAACAATGGCGGCTCTCCCGCCCAGCACAAACACGTTCAAAATTCGTCCTCGTGCCCCTCCCGGTGTCCATTCTGACCCGTTTCACGGGGCGGGTCCAGTCGTGGCGACTAGGTGCTTCCAGGAGGCCCGAAACAAGCGAAAACGCGAGAGTGAGGGCCGCCGTTGTCTCGAATGGACCCCTTCCGAGTGATGATGGCAATGGCAGCAATTCGTCCTGATCTCGATCGTAAGCTGGGTCACCCGCGAGGGCATGAATATTGTCTCTGCTTCGAGGTCTGGTCCGTAGAGCGGTTCCTTTTCACCACGGGGTCCGCGCGGCATCGCGGAGAAGTTTGCGATTCGCATTGCGCGAAGCGGGAAGGGTGTTTTAGGTTCTGAGGCGTTCCAGAAAGGGCTTCGCCTTCGGCACATTTCGCCTTTGGCGGAAGGCTGGCGGAAGCTGGCGGAAGTAAAGCAGCGGCGGTGAGTCCGCGGGCACAAACCGGCGGACGGTGGCAGAAGTAGAAGTGAGACGTCAACATGCTTGAATTCAGGGTTTCTGGAGTTGGAGAGATGGTGACGGCTGTGATAGACCCACGTCATCTTGATGATGCTGGTCGTCACTTGGGGCCACGCGTGAGGGCAGGGAAGGGGGGAGGGAGCTAGCTCATCGAGTGTGCAAACGTTGGAGGGGCGAGCGGCGGCAGACGTGAGCGGGGTCTCGTGGGGCGGGCTGGAGCGGCTGGACGGACGGCCCTGAGGCAGGATTGCTTGCCAACTCCCCGTGGGTCAGAAGCCCGCTCCTACTCATCTCGCAACTGCGGGGCGCCGCTCGCAGGGCATGATTGCCACGGGCACGCAGGGCCCGGAGGAGGAGGAGGAGGAGGAGGAGGAGGAGGAGGAGGAGGAGAAGGCAGCACCAGGACACCGCGCGGCTCTGCGCGGCACAGGGCTTCACTTTTCTCCCCATGGTGGCGGAAGCCCACGGCGGCGGGTGGGGCCGCGAGGCACGCAGGGCCTTCGGGGTCCTGGCCAAGCGGGTGGCTGACGCCACGGGGGAAGACGCCGCACTGGTTGCGGACCAACATGCCCAGCGACTTTCCGTCTCCCTGCACAGGGAGAACGCGCGGGCGGTGTTGCGGCGCCTTCAGACCCTGTCTGGAGGGGCGGGGGTGGCAGCGGCCCGCCTGGCCGCGGCCACGGCGGCCTCCACGGCAGACGCCGTGTGAGGTGCCCCCTGCGCTGCCTAGCGCCCCCCGCCCCCCCCCCCCGCCCTTGCTGGGCAGCGCGGGCGCCCCCCTCGCCCTTTCGCCAACGTCGCGCGCTGGGTTCGGGCGGCCACCCCGCCCAGGTCGCCGCCGTAGGGTCCGCAGCCTCGTCGCGGGCGGCTCTTCTCTCCCGGCCCCTGGCCCGGCCTGTCTGCTTGCGGCCGCTGCTTTCTCTCCTCCTTGTCCTCCTCCCCCTCCTCCCCCTCCCTTCGCTTCTGCTCGTTGCTTCCCTCCCTTTCCTTTCCTCCTGCTCCCTGCCTGCTGTCTCCGCCTGGCCCGTCTTCTGCCTGCCCGCCCGCCCCGCCGGCCCTGGCCTCCCGCCTGGGCGTTCGTCGTCGTCTGCCTGCAGGAGGAGGAGGAGGAGGAGGAGGAGGAGGAGGAGGAGGAGGAGGAGGAGGAGGAGGAGACGCCGCACATGCGCCGCACGCAGGCAGCAGCGCTGCGGATAGAACCCACTGGGACGACATGAGGGCCGTTTCATAGAGGTGGGCCCCCCAGCCTGGTCTTCATAGATGTCGGGGGCGGAAAAGAGGGGGGTGAGGACTAGGGGGGGGGTGGATATCATGGCGGGGGCCATGATATTTTCCCAGATTTCATGGCGCCTCTTCTTATTTCATTACGTCCCTGGCCCCCCCACTGGGCCGCGCACGTGCC